GTTTGTTTTTGTTTGTTTTGTTTGTTTGTTTGTTTGTTTGTTTTTTAATATAATATTTCACCGAAAATAAAATTTAAATTATTGGATATTTATAATTAAATATTAAAATTCAAATAAATGAAATTTTTTTTCTTATTTTTTTCCTTTCCTTTTCTTTTCTTTTCTCTTAAGCAAAAAAATTAAACTATTAATAATAATAATAATAATAATAATAATAATAAAATAAATTTAACACTAATAAAAAAAAAAATTAACCACATTTACCACCAAATTTATTAAATAATAATAATAATAATAATAATACTAAAAAATTCATTAATTTCAATTAAAAAAAAAAAAAAAAATTACAAATACGATTTTTTTTTTTTTTTTACATGAGTTTAAATTGTTTTATTATTATTACGAGAGAAAAAAAACAAAAATTAATAATAATAATAATAATAATAGTAATAATGATAATAATGACGACGACAATAATTTAAATAACAAATACATAAAGTAATAATAGTTTAATAATAATTAAAAAAAAAAAAAAAAAAAAAAACTTTAATAATTTAATTTTGTTTGCGTTTTCAATTTTAAAAATAAAATAAAAATAATAATAATAATAATAGCGGAATTTTTTTTTTCACGATTTACACTTTTATGTATAAATTCTACAAATAAAAAAAAAAAAAAATAAAATATTTATGTATTCGTATGAATTTATTTAAAAAATATATTAAAGGGGGTTACGTTAATTTCATACCCTTTTTTCAGTTTAAAAAAAAATCACAAAATTAAATTTTCTTCAATCATTATGCAATTATTATTATTATTATCATTATTATTATCACGGTTGAATTGATACGACAACAACAACAACAAAAAAAAAAAAAACAAAAGCATCTATGTATTATATATTATAATAATGATATTAATCACAAAATAAAATAAAATAAAAAAATTATAGCACAATTCATTTCAATTTCAATTTCAATTCCAATTCAATTTTAATTAATAATTGTGACATTTTTGCGTAAATTATTTAAACTATTTATTTATTTTCTAATAATAATAATAACTAATAAACAATAAAAAAAAAAAAATATTTTTTTTTCCATTTTCTTTCCATTCAATTAAACGAAGATGATAATAATAATAATATTAATTAATATAAAAAAACGAAAAAAAAAATTTTAGCCATCGATATATATAAGAAGGAAATTATAATAAAAAAATTATTCCCTTATATCGATATTGTTTTACTTTTTAAAAGAAAATAATAATGATAATAATAATAATAATAATAATATTACGTTTTAATTTTTTTTCTTTTTCCCTTTAAAAAAATTTTTTCCTATTTTTTTTTCTTTTTTTTTAACTATTAAAAATAATTAAAGAAAAAGAGAAAAAGATAGACACAGAGACAGACAGAGAGAGAGAGAGAGAGAGAGAGAGAGAAAAGAAAAAACAATTCCGATAATTAAATTAATAATAATAATTAATACAGTGAAAACATTAATGTTATTACTATTATTATTACTATTATTATTATTATTATTATTACAGTTACTACATATGTATATATATATATATTTTGTTAAAATAAAAGGGATTATTAAGAACTATGTGATAAGCAAAAAGGGGAAAACACTCAACATATAGATAGATAGATAACATATTCTATTATTATTATTATTGATAATAAGGACGAGAAAAAATAAAAAAAATTTTTTTTTTTTACAAATACCCCCCCGGGGAAAAAAGAAAATGGGGAGGGGATCAAACGTTTTTTCTATTTTTTTTTTTTTTTTATGCTTTTTTTTCTCTCTCCATATTTTAAATTGTATTATACATCATTTGTAAAAAATATTCTATTGAAAAAAAAAAAAAAAAAAAAAAAAAAAAACTAAAAATTTTTCCTCTTTAATATCCCCAATATTTAGATAATAATAATAATAATAATAATAATAATAATAGTATACTTAAAACAAAATAAAAAAGGTAGATAGATCTACATCTGTTGGGTTTATACTTTCATATATATATATATAAAATCAATAAACAAAGTTTACTAGAATCATTTAAAAATCATCTAAATAATAGGGAGACACAAAAAAAAAACAATAATAATAATAATAATAATAATAATAATAATAATAATGATAATGATAATAATAATAAGCCGTTACTTAGTTAATTTCCATTACAATAATAATAATAATATCTAAGTTTCCGAAAACTGAATTTCTTTTTTTTTTATATATATTTTTTTATTATTTTTTTTTAATATTTTTTTTCCATATATATAATTATTATTATTTTTTTTTTTTTGGGGGGGGAGGGGGATAATTTTACTATCCTTTCATCATTCCCTTTTTTTTTCGTTTTTTTTTTTTTTTGTTTTCCTTCCTGTCTTCCTTCGATATAAACTTATTAGTGTAAAATAAATTCGCCATCTTTCTACCAAACCCATTCCGCGTTTTCTCGTACGATTTCAGATGAAGAATTTCAGGGCGTGACGGGGGGTGGGGGAGGGGGTGGTGGTGAAGAGTCACAATGAGAGAATTTACTTGTTAATTTTTTTTTTTTTTTTTCTCCCTCCCCCCCATTTTGAAATAATTCTCTACACTTATTTAAAATATTTCTTAAAGCATTTTCATCAGAGTGTGTGTGTGTGTGTAAAAAAAAAAAAAAATAATAATAATAATAAAAATAAAAATAAAATAGTAAAAAAAAAAAAAAAAATAGTAATAATAATAGTAATAATAATAATAATAATAATAAATTTTTTTTATCCAACCCAATCGAATTTTTGATACTTTTTTTTTTTCTTTTTTCTTCTTTTTTATTCTTTTTTTTCTTTTTCTCCTTTGATGATGATTCGTAAATTATTTTTTTCCTTTATTTTTTTTTTTAATTATCACTTTCATCTTCTTCTTTTTCTTCTTCTTCCGATTCTGCTTCGGCGAGCCATATCAACCATTGATTCACCTAATTTACAAAAAAAAAAAAATTTATCATCATCATTATCATCATTATCAAAATGGAGTCCTCCTACTACTCAAATCCTTCTTGATTTTAAAATACGATGATAATAATAAATAAATTACGCGAGATTGAGGAAAATCATTGAAAATTTTTGTTTTAGTTTTAACATGACGACAACGACGATACGTACCTGAAAAAGGGCTTTTCCTTTTCCCGGGTATGCATCGGTCAAATCTTCTTTCCATTTCATAAAAGCCTCTTCTTCGATTATTTCTAAATCGTACAAATATGCAAACCACCTTAAAAGCATACCTGAAATCAAACATTTATTTTATTTTTATTAAATATGTAAAAAGGAGACATTATGCATAGTTTTTAAACAAATTTTTTTTTGTTTTTTAAAGTGTACCTTTGGGAAATTTCAGAGAATAACAAAACACTTGCAATGAATACACAGCAATGACTTGGAGTTCCTGACTCTCGTTTAGAAACGACTGAAGTACCGGTTTGTACTTTTCCAGCAGTGATTTCTCTTTTTCTGTCAATTGCTTATCCGGTGAATTCGGATCAGATCCTTCAGATAAAGTTGATTCCTAAAAAACCAAAAAAAAAAATACAGGAATGTTATTTCAATTTTTTTTTTAAAGGGATGAAATCTCAAAAAAAAAAAAAGGCGGACAATTACATAATTAAATTAAATATACCTGTGTTATGTATTTTAAAACAACGGTGACCAAGGCGTTTATAAAACCTGGATTCGAGTAATGTGACGGATCTAAATTGTCTTTTATCCATTTATAAAACTGAGTCGGATTTGGATCGGCCAATATTTGTTTCCACAAACTACTTTGAATCGTCGAGAGTGGAAATAGAAAAGTTAAATCTCTTTCGGCGAGAATTTCTGACAGTCGTTCTTTGGTACGATCAGATTTTGCGACTTGATTCAATAAGTTTATCTAAAATTAAATTATTTATTTATTTATTTTTATTAAACTCAGAAAACAACTATTAATGATTAATAAAATTTCTCATTACTTTGCTTTCGTTGAAAATTTGAGTCGTTTTTTGCTTTCCTTCACTTTTACACAATGATTGTAAAATTAACATGAATAGCGGATAATAAGCTCCTCCATCAGTTATATCACCGACAGCAGACAAAGTGGTCAATCCTGACAATATTGCTTCTTTAATGCAGCCTGAATCGTTTGAAAATAATTTTCATATGATATTCAATAACAACAATGAATTTTTAAAAGGAAAAAAAAAAAAAAAAAAAATTTTTTTTTTTTATTTTTACAAGCATAATTACCGGCGACATGGGAATGAATTCTAGGAATTTGAGGTTCTTTTTCGGACATTGACGAAGTTAATTCTTTCAATGCCTCTAAAAATTTTTCATTAGACACCATGCCTTCTTTTTTCAATTCGACAACCAAAGCGACAGACAAATTTTTTTCCGTATCCACTGAAATTAAACAAGGCAAATTAATAATTTGTACTTTTAAACCTTTATTTAATTAATTTGAAAAAAAAAAAAAAAATAAATAAATAAATAAATGCTTACTGTTTCCATCCAAGTTATGACTGAGAATACGCATTAATATGCTGGGTATAAAACGTTCCGGTGCCTTTAGGTCTTTGATTGCTGAAACGCATTTGGTCAGTGTATCTGACGTCAAATTTTCACTTAAAATTGTAGTTAACTTTTTGAGAACCTCTTCTTTAGTAGGTCCCTAAAAATTACAAGAAAATTTTTCCACGTTATTTTTTCCATGAGTATAAAAAAAAAAAAAAAAAAACATAAAAAACGTAGTAAAACAATTACTTTATCTTTTTTGGCGGACTTTCCTTTGTCTGAACTGGCTTGCTTTATTAAAATCGGAGGTTCTTTACTCATCTGCATTTGAGGAGCAGATAGTATCGGTTCAGGTAAAAGTGAATTCGTTCGACCTGAATAGCAAAGTAAAGTAATAATAATTAATAATAATGGTAATTTGGACTTTCTTTTGACAATTTTTAATTAAACATTTTTTGTCAAACCTGAAGAAAGTACAGCTGGCTTCGGCTGTGGTGGTTTAAAAGCTGCCGGTCGAAGAGATATATCTTCAATAACACCAGGTCCACTCAACTGAGATCCCAGCATCATATTTTTTTTAAATCTGGGAGGAACTTCCTTGGCACCACCACCACCACCACCACCTTAATTTAAAATGAAACATTTTACAATTGATAAAAATTATGGTAAAATAATATTTATTATTATTTATTGTTTGTGTTATAATTTTCCTTACTGTTATTATTGTAATGTTGCTGGAAGTTTTGCTTATTATTATAATTATTATTATTAATAATATTACTACTAGTATTATTATTACTATTACTGTTGAGGTGTTGCCTGAAGTAAATGCCAGAACCACCGCGATTGCTCCGGAATGCACTGCCAGGAAATCCATTATTGGTCATAAATCTAAAATTTAATAAAATTTTATATAATTTTAAATTTAATTCTTTGTGTTCAACAGATTAATAATAATATATATTTATAACATTATTAAAAAATATATATATATTTCAACATTACTCTCGAGGTTTTTGTAATTTGAATAAATGCCAATTTATTTCAAGACGTTTTAATAGCAAATAAATTATAAAAATTTATATTTTACCCTTTATTAAAACTATCATGAGGCAAAAATTGTGGGTTCGGACTAAAGTTTGAAACTCCCAACATGTCATCCAATCCGCTTCTTGTTTTCAATGGATTGCGAAACAATCCATCCAATCCTGCATTCGGGTTCGGTCTTGGTATCGGATCAGAGACATAGTTCCGCAATTCTTCGTCACTTTGTATCTGAAAACGACGAATTATAAAATTTTTTTAAAAAATCGCCATTGCATTTAACAAATTCGAAAAATTTACTAAACTTCTTTATGACAAACCTGATTGATAGGCATAGGCCCTTCCATGCTAGATGCTTTTCTGGGAACCCAACCATCTCTTCTCAATTCAATAACATCCTTTAACATAAAGCGTATACGCTTTGGAAATTCTCGGTTTTCAGCCAAGGTTTTCATTCGATCAAAATATTGATTCATCAAGACCTAAGAATAAATGACAATTACAATTATTTTTTTTAAAACCAACTCCCGTAAAATAATAATAAATATTCCATAAATACTGACTCGCCCCTTATCCGTATCCAAAATTCTACCGCAAGTTCTCATGATTTGAGCCAAGCACTCAACGTCTTCGCTAACATCTCTGCCTTTAGACGTTCTTGACGACCGTGAAGTGTGTACCAGAAGAGTTTGTATGCATTTATGTAGAATCAATTCCGATAAAATTTCCAATTTTGCAAGCTCGCCAATAAACTAAATTAAAATTTAATACGTTAAACATACTATTGTTGCCCTTTTTTTTTTGTAAAAAAACATAAAGTTCCTTCAAACTTACCTTGATGTTGCCCAGCATCTTTTTCTTGGCGATGAGGTGACGATCTTCATCGTCAGGGCTGAAGGGGCCATCATTTTGTTCATATGGTTCATTAGCCTTAAAAAAAAAAAAAATATCTTATATATTTTATCAAATAATTGAATTTATCCGATTATAATCGGTCTATTTAATATGGTCATAATCAATTCAATGGTTATTCAAAATTATTTTTGACTCCTTCGTGTATCGACACATAAAATTCAATCAGTTTAATGTTTTTATCTATCGTTTAAAGGCATTTACATTAACAGGGACGTAAAAATGTCCTCTTCCTATATTATTATTATTATTATTACTACCAACTAACCTGAGCTCTATTTTCAAACTCCGATTTACAATTAGCTAATAAAAGTTTTATAAATGTGTTGGGTTCGTTTGGGGGTTCTAAATTTGGAGCTTCTTCTGAGAGCCGCTTACATAGCTGAGCGTACATAGACGAGTACTTTGGCTCATCCAAAGCTTTTTTGAAAATCTAAAAATAAAAATTTTTAACAAATTAACAAAATTTCACTAAAAAAAAAATTGATTACATTTTTGTAATTTTTTATACTTACTAGCAAAATAACTCCTTTTAGAATTTGACCAGAGTTTAGATCTATGGCAAGAATATCATCACTTAATTTTTCGAATTTCTCTGGAGTAAGCTTATTGAGAATTCCCTGTACCTGTTAAAAATAAAATAAAAAAAATTATTATTATTTTTTTTTTAAATCTTCACATTTAAAATTACAACCAATCATCAAAACTTTAGTAGTTAACAAGTAGTAGTAGTAGTAGTAGTAGTACCTTTCTGAATATAAGATCATTCCGATTTTCTTGTGGGAGACCATCGCGGCGTATCCTTGAAGGAGGGATCCAGCGTCGCTTAGAGGAGAGGGAGACAACTTCGTCCCTGCAAGAGCAAGAAGAATTTAATTAAAAAGGAATTTAAACGTGGCGTATTAAAAAATTTAATTAAACACTAACCTAGCTCCTGAGACACGAGACACACCCCCTGGTCCTCTAGGGCCGTCCGTTGTTAAGTATAAGCTCTCCTCGGTGAAAACAAACACTATGAAATTCCTGAATCAGAAGAGCTGTATATAACAAAAAAAAAAAAATTACATTTTACAATAAATTGAAAATAATAATAATAATAATTAAATACGCGATAATTTTTTTTTTTTTTTTTTTAAACAAAATTATAATTAAATAAATTATAATTAAAAAAAATTTTCTCCCATAAATTTTTAATTTTTTCTCTCGATAATATTCACAAATTTACGGTTTTAAATTGAATAAAGGTATTACTCATTGCACAACACAATTTAAATATGATTTTATAATTAAATGAAAATTTATAATAAAAACAAAAACAAAATCAATAAATTGATGAAAAATAACAACAATTACGAGATAATAATATAAAATTAAAAAAAAAAAAAAAAAATTAAACAAGGGAACTGTCAAAAAAAAAAAAATAAATAAATAAAAAATAATGGGTCTCAATATTTTATGATGTGGCATTAAAAATTCCATGCAACAGGTTCCATACCAAACAACCTAGGTTCAATAACCTTCGTGAAAACCATGGCCTGGTGAAGGCTTTGTCTAAGAATATACTATGCTACCCACTTTATATTAGGAGGCCTGGCAATGAAAATTATATTTTAACTTGATGATTTATATAAAATATAATTTTCGTGTGAATTTTAAAATACCATTTTTTTTTTTTTTTTTTTATATTACAAGGTGAATTTTTTTTAAAAAAAAAAAAAGAAAAAAAATTACTTATGCATAAGAATAAATTATTTTAGTTTTAATCTAATTTTAACAAATATTTAATAAATAAATAATAAAAAAAAAAAAAAAAGTCTCTTAAATTATCAAACTAAAACCCCTCTCTTCCTCGATTATATTTAAAATTATACTGGTTTTTATACCTGAAAACTTATTAATCCAAATAGAATATTCTTTTAAATTAAAATATTCATACATTTTAATATTCAAACACACTGACTGATACATGTTTCATTTTGGATTCATGTCGATAGAAAATAATTCAAATAACGAGACGGTAAACTTGGCTTTTTTTTTTTTTTTTTTTTTTTTTTTTTTAAAATGATACATTTAAAATTGCAAATAATATTTTTCATGGTTCTCAAAATATCAAAAACAAAAAAAAAAATATATACATGTGTATTTTAAAAATTATTGTTATGACAAACCGATTACGGCAGCCATTTTTCCTCAAAACTGGGCCTGAAACAATAAGAAGATCAGCATTAAGGAAATAGAGGAAGAAAAGGGAATCTCTTTGAAAAAATAAAAAAAAAAAAAACTTTTTGATTAAACTAAAATAATTTTAGACTTTGAAAAAACTAACCCTGTTATTTATATGTTTACTACAAATTTTATTTTTTTAAGCACTAAGTTATTAAAAAAAAGATTATCACCTATATTAAATTCGATTAAAACCTTTTCCTCTTATAATTAGCATGAAAAATATTATTCACAACAAAACTAATGATGAAAACGATAAGTGAAAAGTATAATTTTTTAATTTAACTCTTACAATTCAATAAAATATTAATAACAAAAATTCATTCAAATGTTTATATATATAAAAAAATTCAACTTGAAAATATAAAAATTAAAAACAACTTTAAGTCGCTGTGATTAGAACATAATTAAAAATGAAAATAATAATCAGAACAGTACAGCGATAATCGAATTTTATCATGAGCTTCAAGTCATATATTATTATTTTGGACACACTGTTTTTTATTTTAAGCAAATACTTAAACATTAATTAATTTATATACTAAAAAATTTCCAATCATTCGAAAATCATCAATGTAATAAATTAGTAACAAAAATTTAAGTTTCCAAACATTTTTTCGCAAGTTGACGCATAATAATTTTATTATATACAAGCATTACTTTTTATTTTAAAAAATTGTAAAAAAATATTTCAATTCATTTTTATCCACAAAATTATTTTAGCATAATAATGCACATTAATAAATTTAAAAAGAAATTAAGAAAATAGGTGTATGCACAAAAATTTTTTAGTTAAATGTTAGGTATTATTAAAATCATTCGAAAAGAGAAAAACATTTGAAAAATTATAAAACCTGACTAAAAGAATACAAAAGTAACATTAAGTAAAAATTTTGAAATAAGCAGACAAAAATTTAATAATATCCCACTACAAATTATAAATAATTGAGTTTAAGTTAAGGAGGAAATAGATTTATCATAATCAAGGACGAAATCAATTTAAAGATTAACAGGAATTTGTTTTTAAAGGTAACTTTAATATTTACTTTTGAAAAAAAAACTTCTCGTATAAATAATTAGTTTGTTCATTAATTTTACAAAGTACAGCATAAATTGCATGTATCAATTTGCCAAGCTCAAAAAAATTACAAGGACTTTTAAAGCTACTGTCAAAATACTTGCACAATTTCGTAAAACATTACAAACATACTTTATAGAAAACGCAAAACCTAATCAAATGCGGTAAAGTTTGAAAAAGCTGACAAAAATTAAAATAATTCACCCATTAGCGAATAAAAAATCACACAAAAGAGCTCAAAAAAAAATATTTTGAGGTCAACGACGCCTGACGGCCATTTTGTTAGACCAAGCCTGAGCAAAATTAATAAAGAAAACCTTAAGATATTTGTTGATTTTAATAATAATATGAAAAATAATCGATTTATAACACTTTATCTTTAAAATGTATTATAAATTAATTTTACCAAACGTACTAATTAATAACGAAAAATAAATTAAATTAACTTACAGAATAACAGTTCGGCTAGGAAGCCAGCAAAGATGAGTAATGAATGACCAGGAGTGCCACTCTCTGAAAAACCTACTCACTTAATGATTATGAATTCTGGCAACAGCCCTTGTGATTCATTATTACTAATTTTAAGGAATATGACTTTTTTCTATTTATTACAATAATTACTACATCAAAATTATTATTTTTAAATGTAGGATTATTATTAAAAGGTTTTAGAATAATTGTTAGTCGGAAAATTATAAACTAAAATATTAACTTAAAATTCCTTATTTTACCTAGTTAGTAATTGAAAATTACGTAAAATGCTTACTTTTTATATATTAATTTTGACAAATATTTTTCCGTTTAAAAAAAATAAAACACAGTTCGAAATTATTGTTATAAATATTGTTTTCTTTGTTTAAAGTATTTTACAACTAAAACCTTGCACCTCTAATCTAGTGCCAATTTAACATAATTTACAATGCAACCAACTTAAAACGAACATGCGTACGCACTGTTGACTGTTTAGTAAACTGAAATAAACACAATTTATACTTATGGATAATAATATAAATACGTATTCGTTACCTCCACTTACTCACGGAAAAGTTCTAGGTATTTTAAAATTTATTATTAACGAAGTTAATATTATTAAAACTATATTAGTTGCAACCAAAGATTTTAATTTTATTGTAAAAATTCAATGGTGGGGAGAAGTTGTACCCATGTATTTAAGGCAAGATAATTTATTAAACTAATATCATTTAACAAAAAAATTGACTAAAACTTAGTTTGCTGTTTATTATTTTCAGACCCGAAAAAATATCTTTAAATAATTGCATACAAGTAAGCGAAGATAAAAATAATACTCGTAAGAGTATAGCGATTTACGAAGTTAAAACAACATTATTTTTATTAAAACATTATTTAAAAGCTTGCGAAAAACTGGAATTGGTTGTTTCGAAGGCAGATCATAGTTTTATACTTGGAAGTGCCTTTTTAAGAAATCTTGTTGATATAATTAAATTAAGAAATGATATTTTACTCCTTCCCGTTGTTGACTTTTTAGGAGAAAAAGTTGGTGAGATAAAAATCAATGTAGACTTTTTATATAATTTATCGAATAGAAATAATAACTCAAATTCACATATACAGAAACCTATATTTTCATGCAACCATTCTAATTCAAAATCTCTTCAAACAAATAAAACTGAAAATTCAACTTTGTCCGTTTGTAAGAAAAATTTACATATGAACCCATTGAAAATAAGTCGTAATGCACAAAAAGTGGTAGGTAAATACAAAACCCATAAAAAAAAAATATCTCAAACTTCAGCTCTTACTCAACATTTATGTACCATTACAGAAAGAAAAGAAAAACCTGAAAATTGTAATAAATCTTTGTTTAATTATTCTACACATTCAAATCAATATAAAAAATGTAATATTCCTTATGCTACTCTACCACAAATTAAAACTTACAATGATTATTCTAAACTACTGCTTTATAATTTTACTCAATTGAAAAAAAAGAAAAAATTTAAAGAAAATGATAATAAATCTTGTAATTCATCCAAAAATATTTTAAGGTCTTCTGAACCTGTACAACCTGTAAAAAATCATGCACAAATTAGTGATAAAGTTATAGAAAATAAAAAAAGAGTTGAATCGAAACAGTTTTCAGATTTAGTAGATAAATATTCTTCCGACAGTTCAGGTCGTGAAAAAATACCAACACAACCTTCCAAGTCTTGCATTCCAGAAGTGGTTAATAGAAAAATGAAAAAAACATTAATTCCAGTTAATAAAAATGTTTTAAACTACTTATTAGGATGTGATATGACAAAAGAAGATGAGGAGTATGCAATAAATGAATTAAAAACATTATCTCCTTGTCAGCATTTGGTTAACACATTTAATGAACTTTATCAATCATCTAGTGAAAGTTCGATCAAATCCCAAACTAAAAATTTTTTATACGAAAATTTAAATGCTATAAAAACTAAAAAATCATTAAATTTTAATTTTAATGATCCGATTGAAAAAAAATATTTTGAAAAATTTTTTTCAAAAACAGTAGCAGAAACAGAAGTTCCATCGACTTTTGAAATTGTAAAAATATTAAATTCGAATATACCTTCAAATGGATCTGAAGAAAAAATCAATCACTGTACCATAAATGATATTGATAATATTAAAATTGAAAATAAAAAGGAAGAATGTAAAAAATATGTAAATAATGATGATGATGAATATGTCAAGCATAACGAAGATAGTTATTTACATGTAAATACATTAAAAAATAAATTTAATATTATTACGAATAAAACTATTTGTTGTAAATATTGTAATAAAATAAATGAATTAGATAAAATTATTGAATCATTAGATCAATTAGGAACTAAAACGTTTTCTAATCAATAAAATAACTAAATATATATTGAAATGATTTTTTTATACGATGATTTACACAAAATGTAATGAAAGAAAAAAAAAAATAAAAATTTTTTATATAAAATTCAAATTATATTTTATTTTATTTTTAACAAGTAATAAGTTATTTATAATACAAACTTAAATATCCCTCTCTTTCTTTTAATTTTGATATTTCCTTTTGAGGCAATAAGAAAAGTTTGCTTTTACAACCATCATGAAAATGGATTTTTGAGCAGTCCCTTATTTTCTATAATAATTATTACATATTTTAATAAATAAATAAAAAAGAAAAGTCATTTAAGTATTTATTATAACTACAACTTACCTTAAACTTTTTCATTTCGTCTTTTGTATATATTTTATTTTCGATTTTTTCTATTTCATAACAAGGACGACACAAAAAGGTTTCAAAATTGGCTTGCTTTCCTTTTTTCATTTTTAATTGTTTACCTGAAAACTAAACAATAAGTAATTTCTATTGGTTTTTTTTTTTTTCCCCACATTTATTATGACAAATATTAAAATCCGTGTGTGTGTTTTTAAAATAAAAAAATTAGTTACAATGGCTTCCAAATACCAATAATCTCCCTCTGGATATTTTTGACAACGTTCGCATTCATCAAAATTATAAGGAGCACATTTAACTTTAATTATTGGAAATAGACATTTTTTACCACCGAATGAATATTTAAAATTTAACGTTCGATGTTTAGATGCACTTATATTATACGTTCCAACTCTGACATTAAAAAAAGAAGAAAAATTATTTTAATTTAAATAAATAAATTATTTTATATATAAAATATATTATACCCAGGATTGTTAAAAATTTTATTTTTTTTTTCTGATGATGAATTAAATGGAGCACAAAACTGAATATATTTTTCCGGGAGCATTGATGGTAAATTATATTCTCCAGGTGCTGGAGTTAAACTACCGGTAAATATTGTTTTTCTTTCGGCTTTTCTTCCACCCAATACAGTACCTAAATTGCTAGTAGGCTGAAAATATTCTAAGATTGGTCAAATATAAATTTCCAATTTAAAAAATTAGAAAAAAAATTTTTTTTTATATATTTACCCTGTTGGCTAAAACATTGATTGACGATGTCACATTAGAGTGATCGTACATTCCCGGAGCCACGGGTAAATTTTCCCTTAAATAAGTTTTTGCTAATTTAGATGTTAATCCTTTGGTGTCATCTTCCAAAAGTTTTCTTTCTAATGTAGATCCGAAACATATTTTTTTCTTTTCGTTCCTTTTAACAACATATTCAAAATCTATAATTCCAAGATTTTAAATCTCATTGTAAAAAAAAAAAAAAATATATATATATATATATATAGATATATACGTGTATATATACATTACAGTCACGTGATTTTGTTACAATTCGGCCTAAGATTAATTTCAAAAAAAAATTTAAAAAAAAAAAAAAAAAAAAAAAAAAAAAAAAAACCGTTAAAATATACTAAAATTTTTAATGCATACTCATATTAAAAATTATATGTACATATCATAATAATGATAATGATAATAATAATAATAAAAAAAACAAATATTTGAAAACATTTAAATCATAAAATCATAAACATACTAATACTGAGCTTTTATGGAACAACAACAAAAAAAATCCAAATTTAAAGAACGTTTTTATTATTTTATAAATAACGGTTAAAGTGTCAAATTTACCTTTTTAAATTTAAATTTATTTTGTCATGAGCAAACATATTTTTAATTATTTTATCATTAAAACTGATGCTTAATATTATCTTTTTAATATAATTTAAAATTTTAAAAAACCTTTATTGATTCTGTACTGTGATAAATAAAATTTATTTATTTTTTATTATTATGCAATGTAAATTTTTAAAAAAATATTAAACTAAATTAGAATTGATTTAAAGAAGAAAAAAAAATGACTGAAATGTAACTGGTAAAAAAAATTAATATTAAAAAAAAAAAAAAAAAAAAAAAAAAAAAACATGACATGAAATATATTTGAATTTTTATAATAATATGAAATCACGAAATGTAAATTTAATGTACCCAATTATTTAAAAAAAAAAATTGTATAAATAATAATATTTTTTAAAGTTTACTACTTTATTGAAAAAATTTATATATATATATTTAATATATTATTTATATATTTAAATGCTTTTTGTTTTTTTTTTTTTTTTAAATTATTTAATCCATAATTTTTTGTATTTATTTAAATTGGAAATTTAAATTTAACGAATTTTTGAAATTTAGTTCAATTTTTGACATAGAGGTTGCATTGTAGTCGTAACAAACAAATGCACTCAGTTCATATTTTGAATTTTAAGGGCATTTTAGGTATTTGTGACTGAGGTACGATTTTAATTAATGTCGGTTTTTTATATTTCAAAACAAAACTTTTTAACTTGTTTGTTTAAATACAATTTTATTTAATAACTAAGGTAAAAAAAAAAAAAAAAAAATTGGAAGTGAGATGTTGTTTCACGATTAATATAATTGATCACATTGAAAGTAAATAATTATTATTATATTTCTTAGATAAAATATGACTACTTCATCTGAGGACGTATTACTTCAAGTAAATCAAGTGCGATATAAGAAAGGGGATGGAACTTTGTATGTAATGAATGAAAGATTAGCTTGGATGATGGATAATAGGGACACCGTTTCAGTGAGTCACAAATATGCAGACATTAAAAGTAATAAGTAGTTTGAAAAAAAAAAAAAAACAAAAAACTTAATGTAAATTTCGAAAAGAAAATATTTAATGTTTTAATTCTTTATTTTATTTTAGTGCAAAAAATTTCTCCCGAAGGTAAAACAAAAATTCAACTCCAAGTTGTTTTACATGATGGTAGCGCTTCAACTTTTCAATTTACCAACAGACTGGGTCTTCAAGCTCAAATTAAAGATAGAGATGATGTTAAAGAACTATTAGTACAATTACTTCCTAAATTTAAAAGAAAAATTGATAAGGAACTAGAAGAAAAAAATAGGTAATTAAATTTTTACCTTTTTTTTTTTTAATTAAAATTATTATAAACTTTTAAATATTATTTAAATTGTATTTTTCATTTCGAGGCTTTTATCGGAAAATCCTAGTTTATTGCAATTGTATCGAGATTTAGTAATAACTCAAGTTATTACTTCTCAGCAATTTTGGAATGAACATGCTGTTAAGTACACGAGTAAAATGAATATGCAAAAACAAGAAATTGGAGTTAATGGAGCATTTTTAGTAAGTATTCAAATTACAAATTTTACAAATTTACATTGACTTATAATAAAATAACTACCGTAAAGTATCTAATTACATTTAATTGTAATGTAAGGTAATAATCCATATTTTTGACTTAGGCTGATATAAAACCACAGACTGATGGTTGTAATGGATTAAAGTACAATTTGACTGCAGATGTTATACAGTCAATATTTAAAACATATCCAGCAGTTAAGCACAAGCATCTTGAATATGTTCCTCACAAATTATCGGAAGCTGAGTTTTGGACAAAATTTTTTCAAAGTCATTACTTCCACAGGGATAGGATAAATGCTGGCAATAAGGATGTTTTTACAGAATGCGCGAGAGTAGATGATGAAGGTACTTTTTAAATTGTATGTATAAGTATATCTCCCTAATTATTCCTTAAAAAAATTAGTAGGCCTTTGACAAATGTCGATTAACATAAAAATTAAATTATGTAAGGAAAACTAAATAAACTAAATATATTAATATTTATTTTGTGAATATCAATAGTCATATTCAAACAATGAAAAAATTTTTTTTTTATTTTAATCTATAGAATTAAAAAAAGAATTAGATAATGGAGTACCTGATGTTCTGTGTAATATATCAGAATTTGAAGACAAAACCCTAGATGAAGGCTATGGCACAGGAACTTCTACTGCTTCAGTCCAAGCATCAAGTGGAAATATAGTTCATCAAAATATGATTAAAAGGTAAAATCTATTGGTTTTTTTATTTTATTAATGTTATCTGATAGTTTTTTTTTTTTTTTTTGAGTGAAATAAGGTATTGACTTGCAGATTTAATCAGCATTCAATTATGGTATTAAAAGCTAGCGAAAAAAAAAATGATGAATCAAATGGAGCTTTTACAACAAGTGATGGAATGGTAGCAGTTGGTTCTGCTCCAGTTCCAAAAAAATCAGATATACCAAATGGATCAGCCGAGGAGCCTAAATCGAAAAAAGTTAGTAATGAAAAAATGAAATTATATTGTATTGTTGAACTTAATCACAATTATATAAAATACAATAATATAAAATAATTGCAGAGTCGTTTACAAGAAAAAATTGTATTTGATGATTTGGTTTCACAAGGAGAAGAAAATGATGCAGCACCCAAATTGCAATTATCACAAGTAAATTTTAAATTTAAATTTTATTGTGACATTCAAATTTTTTTTTTTTTTTTTTAAAAAGAGTTTATTTACAGTGTAATGATAACTATTTAGTAATTTAGTTTATAATTTTTTCAGATTGAACGATACCTAAATTGCCCAATGCAAATTGCTAATTTAGATATATCAACAGATTATTTTTCAGTCTGTTCTAAAATGGCAAAAGAAAGTGAAAATTGGTTAGTTCAAAAAAAACAAAGCACTCCGGTTTTAGTTAGTCCGGCAAATGCTGTTTCAGCATTAGGTGAACTTACTCCCGGTGGAGCTTTAATGAAAGGATTTCAGGAAGAATCTTTAGCACGTATGCTGTTCACTTTATTAAGCACCAAGTTTTGATTGATATTTTTTCCTTTTTTTTTTTTTTTTTTCTAAAATAATGTTAAAATTTTAGAACTTGTACCTAAAGAACTTGAGAAAGAACTGAAGCATACATATAATGCATTGTGTGAACTGCTTAGACACTTTTGGTCTTGTTTCCCTCCGACAACAAAAACTCTCGAAGAAAAAGCTAGTAATGTTCATGAATCTCTTCACAGGTTTGAATTAGCTAAGCTTAAGCCTTTCGAGGTAAACATTTTTGTTTTTACTACAATAATCACAATTATTTTTTCAAATTATTTAAAATTTTATTAAAAAAATATTTTAAGGATAAAGTTATTAGAGAGTTTAATCCATTGAGTCAACACTTAACGAGACATGTGAATGAAATGCTACAATTTGCCTATAGGAAATATAATACATGGCAACAAAGGATGCACAGGTAGCCTTTTTTCTCATTGAATTCATTGAAGAAAGACAATTTTTAAGTAAAAGGTAAATGTTTCATTTTTGTTTGCCTTTTTTTTTTTTTTATAAATATTCAATTTTAAACGAAAACAATATTAGAGCTATTTAAAGATGTGATAAAATTTTTTTAATAGTTCAAATAATTTTTTAGAAGGATCAAATATACAAAGTTCCTCTGAATACTTTAATAATGTTTATAAAAAAAAATTGAATAAAATTTTTCAGCAATAATTTTAAATTTATTTTTTGCATTAGTTCCTTCATTTATTTGAGTACAATGCAACAGTTTTTTTAAAAATAAATTATTATTTAACTGGTTTGAATAAACTATTTGAATAAATAAAAAGGTAAATACCATAGAGAAAATAAAAATCATGTGGTTAAAATGTGATTCTGAACGTGTTTAAATGTTGACTCGAATCAAAATGGCGTCCCTCATTTGAATGGGAATATTATTGTAATTTTGAAATCATTCGAATTGTTCTTATGATTTCTTCAAATATTCTTTTAAAGTTATATTTAACTGGCTATAAATTAGAATTTGAATTGGATTTTTTTCACCCAGTAAGTGAATCATTTTATGTACATTTTATAAGGAAAAATAGTGGTTTTTCCAGGGTCCGCAAAGTCGGTACTTTTACGAAGCCATATTTTAAACATAATTTTTACCTTTAATTCAATAAAGAATAAACATTAATTTAAAAATTTAAATTTCTTTTTAATAGGAAAATTTTTTTTTTTTTTACACACATAATTTTTTTCTTTAGTTAGGTTATTAGAAAATTTACTTGAAACGCGATGGTATAAAAATTATTATGGCTGCTTTTATACGATAGGCTTACTTATTTACTATTCATTAAATGTAATTTTTGTTCTTTGTTACATTGATTCGTTTAGTTAATGATACATTTAAAAAAAGTTTTTGTTTTAAAAAAATTTAAATCATTATAATTTTAAATCTGTAAATAAACTGAAGTGGACTTGACTGATTACAAGTGTTTGGGTTTGTTTTGTATTATGGAGGGAGACTTTAAGATGAATTATTGAGGCAAGCAACTGGCATTATAATACTGCATAGGAAAATATGGCCTTGACTCTTCTTACAGTGTTTATTCTTGCATTAAATTGGTCCACATTTATTTTGTTTTTTACCAATTGTAATTTGCCTAAATTATAATAATAAAATTCATTTATGTAATTAAAACTTAATAATGTGAAATTTTTTTTAAAAGTAATATATTTACCTTTTTTTTTTTTTTAATTTTAAAAAGAAGTGTTCTTTTTTTTATCACAGTTCATGAATGAATGATTTTTTTTTTAAAGCAAAAACTCATATTTTAATTTAACAATATTCATTGTTAAGTTGTTTTGATTTAAAGAATATTTATAACTAATTTTTAAGTTAATATAAAAATTAAAGGATTACCTTGACATTGTTATTATTGTAAAAAAAAAAAAATATAATCTAATTTGAGTCGCCTTTTAAAGTTTTTATGTTAACTTTAAAATCAATTTTACTTTTTTTTTCTTTACAAGAGTATTAAGTTTATTTTTTTAAATATACACAGCCTTAATTTGTAATGAACTATTTAGTTTTTTTTTTTTGTACTTTGGTATAAATTATTACTGATTCCTGAATTTGTTTCAGATAAATATTCGGCTGAATGTTTTTATTGGCAGAAATAATGAATTCTGAAATTGCTGTCTCAACTAAATTTAACAACAAAAGGGGAATAGCATAATGGATCCTGCTGTGCCTTGGTCGGCATATGCAGCTGCTGCATCATATAATCGTCTTGCTAATGCTACAGGCACTTTTCAAACTAGTTCATCGGAATTTCAAAACACAAGTTTAGCAGGACATCAAAGTGGAACTCAAGCTCACACAACTACAAATCAATTACTTCTTCAAGCAGCAGCACATACAACAGCCACCTTGGCAGGCCAATTAGGTCAAAGTACAACTTTTAATCCAGGAGGGTTTTTATCTCCTCCGACCGTAGGTTATGATGCTGTATTTTCACCATTGTTTCATCATGCTAATCCGAAACCTGCACACTATTCATCTGCTTTAAATGTATCTCAACATCGACCTGCTTTGGCTACCACAGTTGCATCAAAACAAAATGCAGTAGAACCTGAAATATCAAATTTGAGAGAAAATTATTCTCAAGTTCATCATCAAAATATCAATTCTACTAATTCTGGTTCTTATTTTGAGCATCAAAACTCTGGTTCCACTAATACTTGGTCTCATCAAAGTAATAACCAACTTCCTAGTCCTTTTGGAATTCTCCCACATGAAACTGTTGTTGTAAGTTCCCCTGGTCCATCTAAATCAACATCTACTTTTGAAAATACATTTAACTCGACTCATTTCACACCTCAAGCATTGAATCCAATAAATCCCCAATTAGCATCTACTAATGCCGAATATTCTAAAACAGCTTCAAACACTAGTAACAGTAGTAACAATTACTCAAACGATAATAATAAGAAAACCAATCGTAGTCAGTCACCTTTAGTTACCTCGATTAAACCTGTTGTTTCATCCGCTTCTACAATTATACCTTCTGGATCGCCTTCTTTCTTTCAACATCAAGCTACTTCGACAACGTTTTCTGATACAGGAACATATCAGAAACCACTAGACACTTATTCATCATCAAAAAATTACGGGACTAGTAGTAACGTTCCCAACGCTATTACAAATAGTCAATCATGTATAGTATCATCTGCTTCATCTAATCAATCTACGATTCAAAATAAATCTGAGTATAGAATACCGCAACCACCTTCAAGAACATCAGCAGCCTACTTGAATCAAAATTCTAGACCGAATCAAAATGCAACAGAAAAGTCGACTCCTGGTAGAGGAGTTAATCAAAATTTTGTACCTCCCGCTTCGAAAACATCAGCACCTCAGCATTCAATACAAACAAAGGCTCAAACTAAAATTTACCCCGAATTAGCAAATCAAACAAACGACCGGAGATCGAATACAGAGGTATTAGAACCAAATCAAAGTGCTCCAATTAGTTTTGCTATAAGTTACCCTTCCAATAAGAATGTTCAAAGAACTGGAAATAGTCAGTACATTGTAAATCAAAATTATCGATATGGTGAAAATGAATTTCATAATCGGAAAACGGGTAGTGCGGATTCTGCATATTCTAGCGGAAGCAGTACTGGCCCTGAGTGCAATGTTGCAGTTCCGAGAAGACCAAGTCCGCTTCAAGCTCATTCTCAGGCCAGTCCTTTGAACCACGTTCCTTCCCCTGCCTACCCGATGTATAATTCTCCAATGGCCAGTATGCCTAGCCCGTCTAATGTGGAGTGTCAGAATAGTAGTTTTAAAAATTCTCAAGTAACTCCAACAAGTCCTTTAGATGTTACAGTGTCAAGAACTCCTAGTAATCAACAAAATGTGGCCTATCCTAGTGTTATAACTCGAACGGAAAATGCTGGTAATACAAATAATTCGTCAAGGAATCCTAGTAGCCAATTGTGGGAAAGTGATGCTGCTCAGAGACAAAATCGTTCTCAAAAATTTCCCAACTCAACTACGAATTACAATGGAATCGAAGCGAATCAAGTTAACGTTACTCCTCAACGATCAAATCCTTCTAATAATGCCGGATTACCCGTGACGGAGAGACAACAAGCCTTTTTCGATCCCAGTTCACAGAATATTCCATTGCAAGATTTATCTTCGTGTCGTGGAGATCCCATGTCAATAGTTAAGAATTTGCAGCAGAACTGTAATTCGGTATCGACTCCTACAGCAGCAGAAACTCACGTCAAGTCAGAAGAGCAAACTAGAATTACGTCCTCTAAGACGACCAATCAAAAAAATCGAAGAAAAAGTAATGAAAAAAATACAAATTCTTCTTCGACAAATACAGGAGGAGCAAATTTAAATGATTTAGCTGGAGCAGCAATGGCCGAATATTTAACTGGCAGAGTTCCTCCTCCCGCTCATCACAATACTCAGAGCCAACAACAGCAGAATGGAGCCTATTTTGATTTTGAAAGGTGGAACATACCACCTCCTCCTCCTAAAATGTTTACCGGATCTGCAGGAGCCTTTGCTAGTCACGGAACGAATTTTGTAGGAAGCCCTGCACATCAACATCAAAGTATAATGGTACCCCATCCTCATCACCCTCCTCCAACTATTCCATATTTTCCAGCTTTTCATATTCCCGCAGGTCACCATCCCCATCACCAAGAATTTCACGGCGGAGTAGAAATAACTACGGTTCCCTTCAGTGAAAATTCACAAAATCAGAATCAGAACTTTCAGCAGTCTGTTGTCAAAGATAATAACCCTAAAGTTATAGTGCCGGATATAGAGGAAGAATTGGAATATTTATCTCAAACCGCTCACGCTCAAGTTGTTTTAGCATCGCAGCAAAATCCAAACGTTTCTCTTCAGTTACCTCCGCCTATCAAAATGCCAGAAAAAAGATATAATGATCCCAATTCTGGTTTTATGGCAAGCTATTTGAAATTTCTTCAAGGTGAAAGAGATACTTCTCCTCCCCCTCCTAGTCGGGGAGGTAGAAAAACAACTTGGACTCGCACGAAACTTTATGCTCCCGAATTGAAGACGACGTCCGTAGCGTCTGTTACAGTGACCAAACCTGTAGGATCTGCAGTGGGTGTATCTGCGTCTACAGTCACCAATACGATAGTTTCTCCAATGGGATCAAAAACAAACCCTTCCGTGGAATGTGTAAAAAAGGGAAATGAAAAATCATACAATCCTGATGACGATCCTAGATTTTATCCTCTGCCAAAAAGTACATCCAAACGAAAATTAAATGACTCGGATAGTTCTGACGAAGACTCGAAGATTCGGAAAAATTTTTCGCAATCATTGCATATGATGGAAACGGGAAAAGGAATGGTCAAAAAGAACAAGTCATCTAGCAAAGGTGTTTCAAAGAAAAAGGGAGAAGCGGGAACAATAACAGGTATTGTAACTTCCAAGATGAGTTCACAAAATATAAATTTTGATCAAATTTTTCAAAGGCTTATTTTTCATTTTTCATTTTTCATTTTTTTTTTTTTTCAGTTTCTGATCCTCTGTTTTTGCCTCCTCGTCGCGAAACATCTAAAAGGCGGGCAAAAGAGAAAACTACAATGAAAAATTTTCTGGAAAAACAAGGGCAAGATGATGAAATGGAAGCGGACGATCCTGATTTTGTTGATTCCGATTCTGATCCCGTTTGGGTTCCGGGAGCAAAGGTTAGTAATTAACGTGTGTCAATTAAATCAGTGATAAGTTTTTTCTCATGAATATTTTTTTTTTTAATGATGATCTTTTTAGGGTGACAGTGACGATGATATGAAAAGTAGAAAAAAGAAATCTCGATCGTTGGTTGGTAAATCATTGAGTACATCTTTGTCTAAAAAGAAGCAAGATAATAATAGTTCCGACGAAGACGCTAGAATTTCTAAAAAAAATTATTCTTATACAAAATCAGTTCAAAGTAATTTTATTTCGTATTTTTTTTCTGTTTTTGTTTTGATTGTATTTTGTTAAGAAATGGGTAAACAAATTGAATTTTTTTTTTTTTTTTGTTTTTTCAAAATAAGGTGCTTCAAAAAATAAAAATAATGTCAAAACGACGACGCATTTGGAACAATTTAGTCATAATGTTAGTACAAAAATTTCTGAGCCTCATTTAGGTATACCTGCAACAGCCGGTGAACAAACGCAAGATTCAATGGAAATGCAAGTTAATAAGGTAAACCTTTTTTATTTATACTTGCCTAATATTTTGTAAAAATGTTTTATTATTAATTTTTGGCGAGTACACAACACAAGTTGATGACATTTTTTTATTTTGTTTTTTCAGACTGGTGAATTTGTAGTTATGAAAAGTGATCTTCACGAAGATTATCCCCCGATTTGGAGAATAGATGGGAAAACTTTATTGCAAAAATATGAGCCTTTCGATGAAAATGGGAAAACTTTGTATAGAAATATTAGCACGGTAGTAGAACAAGACATTTAAATTTTAATAGGTTTTTTTTTTTTTTTTTTTCCCTCCTCTTCGATTAAAATAATATTTATTTTTTTAGTATTCCGGATGGACGGCTCAAAATAGGCATATATATGTAACAGTACCTGTTCGATTTCGGGTTCAATCACGTTTGGAAACAATCGTTGAACTCATGCGTGAAGAAATGAATCCGAACGAGGATCCCGAATTGATGGAAAGAGTCATGAAAGATCTTGAAAAATATCAGGATTCTTTCGAAGTGTACATACAAACTCTCATAAGTCAAGCCCTTGATTCGAATTTTTTAACGGAAATACTTCAGGAACAAGGTACTATTTATTACGTTTTGGTTCCGGGATGGAGTCCAAGGAAACCGTTTTTTAATAATGATCGCGTCGATTTTTAATTTTCAGATGAATATTTTCTCAACAACGTGAAGGCTATCGATGAAGTCACAGAGGATCATTGCAGACGTTTATTGAACGTGACTAAATGGAAACCTAATTTGATAATTTCTGCAAAAACGTGGCCTTGCCTTAATGTGATACAGGATTTGCCTAAGGATCAAATCGGCAACACGCTTTGTTACGCTTGTGAAAAATCTAAGGTAATAAATATTAATTTGAAATGACAACCTTTTAACCTTTCGTGAAAATTTTTTTACTTTACGCTAAATCCTAAATCTTTTTTTTTTCAGGTATCAATGAGAATTCAAATGTACGGTCAACCTTACAATAGCACGACATTGGAGGGTTGTCAACCTGATCCTAAAGCATTGTTCGAAAAGGTAATTTTTTTTTTTTTTATTAATCACGCGTTGTTTTCCTTACATTGTTGTAACAAAAAAAAAAAACTATTTATCATTTTTTAGGACTTTTTTTTGTGCCATTCGTGCGGCTGGCGAGTTTCTCTCTGCAATAAAGCCGCGCACCAAAAATATTTAATGTACATAGAATGTGCGAAAAGAGTGACGGACAAAAGGGCGTCGGATCCGAATAAAGACACGACGTGCATATTAAATGAGCTTTTAGCAGACGAAACATGGTTGAATCAAGTGAGTTTTTTGGTATTTTTATCGGCGGGCTTTTTCATTCGTATTGTAATCTCTAATTCCTTTTTTTTTTTTTTTTTTAGTTATTTTTAGACGTGCGAACGTCTTGGGCGGAAATAGAAAAAATAGAACATTTATCTTGCGAAAGTAACAAACACCTCTTACAAAATGCCGTTGCGTCTGCGGGTATATCATAAGGTAGAATGAAATGGTTGGGTCTTGTAAATATTTTAAATACGAAGATGTGTGTATATATATATATGAATATAGACGTGTAATTGTACCTAAACATTTTTGTAACAGCCTTTTTAATTTATCAGGTAAACATAAATAATAACAATAATAAAGAAAGATTTACCGTTTTTTTTTTTTTTTTTTTTACCGAATAAATAATTCAATAGTTTATATTTTTTTTTGGTTTCAGAAAACAAAAAAAAAAAAAATTAATTATTTATATAAAACGTATGAATGGCGTTGTTATTATTATTATTATTATTATTATTATTATTAGATGATTGATATTGTGATGTAGAATTTGATTGAAATATCAAATATGTTTACTTTTTGTTTGGGGTAATTTCTTATTTATTTATTTTTTTCTGAAATAAAAATTTTGTTGTTATTATTATTTTATTATTATTATTATTACTCATTCATATTTTATATATTTTAGGGACGTTGAATATATATATATATATATATATATATATATATATATATATATATATATATATATATATATAAAATTGCCGATATTTAAATAATGAAAATATTTGGGGAACCGTTAATTGTCGGAACATTTATTTATTTAATTAATGGAATTATTTAAACAAATCATTACTCGAAAATTTGTATTTTAAATTTTCTATCAATCAATCATATTTATATTTATTTAATAATATTAATCAAATTTTCAATATATATTAATCAGGATTTTTATTTATTAATTTTTTAAAATTTACATAAAATAATTTTTTTGACACATAATATTTATTTGACGGTTTTTTTATTTTAAATAAATAAATAAATATTTTGTTTGTTACCGTGTCATAGCAAATGATTTTAAGATGATAATAATAATAAATATTTAAAATATTTTGTTTGTCTTCCAGTTGATATGCATTAAAAATACTTTTTTTTTTTTTTTTTATTATTTTGTCTGTTTTGAAATTTAATTAATTTTTTATTTATTTAAAAAAAATAAACCGACGGGTATATTTATCTCATACAATCGCTTTTTTTTGTTAATTAATTAATTAATTTTAATCATTTGTTATAAACAATATAGTTTTTTTTTTTTTTTTTTTTTTTTTGTCTCCTCATAATAATAATCATATAATTTTTTTTTTTTATTTGTTACATTCATAAATATTAATCGATAATGTGTATTTGTTTGATTAATGAAAAAATCACGTGACTAAAATGAAATTATTTTATTTTATTTTATTTTATTTATCACAAAAAAAAATTTTTCGATTGCAAAAAAAAAAAAAAAATTAAATAATTAATTAATTAATTAATTAAATACATGTTGTGATAGATTTATTTTCAATTTTAAGTTTTTAAAAGCAGTTTGTGATTATTATAATATTTCAGGTTTTATTTTTATTTAAAATAATAATAATAATAATAATGATTATAAATCGTTTGTTTGATTAAAAAATCGGCATTTTTGTATTATTAAAAAGGGAGCAAGATAAAATGATGATATATTTACATATATTAAAGAATTAAGGTTTAGTTATGTTGTTAACATCTGTTTTAAAAAACCTTTTCCCTCTCTTCTTTTTTTTCTTTTTAATAATAATAATAATAATATTAGTTTTTATTTAAAGAAAATCATCATCATAACTTGTAGTTTTTTTTTTTTTTTTTTAGTCTATTTTAATATGTTACGTTTTAAACGTTTTTTTTTTCTTTTTTTTCTGTGTAAATAATATTGCCATTTTTGTTGTTTTAATTTTTAAAAATTAAAATCTGTAAAAAAATAAATAAATAAATAAAATTTGTTTTATAGAAAAAAATGGTAAAACCTTTTTGAAAATGATCAAAAAGGTACAAATTTTAATATTTATGTAATTATAAGTTTATATATATTTAATTTTTAGTCATTCGTATATATATATATATATATATATATATATATATATATATATATATATATATATATATATATATATATATATATATATATATATATATATATTTTAAAGAGAATAATAAATAAATAAATAAATTTTTTTTTTCACTCTTTTTCTCTCTCTGTAAAATTATATATATATGTAAGAAAATAAAATATGCAAAAATTTTTGCAAATGAAATTATTTTATATTAGTTTATATTAAAATTAAAATAAAAATTTTACTAAAAAAATTAATAAGTAAAAGATAAAGCTAAAAATATATAAAATAAAAATCACAGTTTGTTTATTATGGTTTATTTTATTTTATTTTATATAAAACAATACATTTCCCAAATTTTTTTAATGGCGCCATTTTGTAAATGGAGTCGAATTTTTACAACGATGGTAACGATGGGGGGAAAAAATTAAATTTTTTTAATTTTTGAATACGCTAACGGTCGAAATTATTTAAATTTTTTGAACTTTTTGTTTGTTTCCCCCCCTCCCTCCCCCCTCGAGAGATTTATTATCGAATTTTTATTGTTTTTTTATTATTTTATTTTATTCTTTATTATCAGTGAGAAATGCCGGGAACGTTACACCGAATCGATTTTAAAAATCGATTGGATCGATTAATCGAATAGAATCGTTTGCGTTTAATATCTATCTGGTTTTGTAAATTATTAATAAGGAAGACAGGACGAGTTAATAAAATAAAATTGATTGTTTTTATTTATTATCATATTTATATTACAAATTATCGATAAAAAAAAAAAAAGTATTTTTCTTTTATTTGAAATTATATTCGAATCGTGCGTGGATTTGAAATAATAATAATAATAATAATAAAATGAAATCTTAAGTGAGATCCGTTGGAAAAATAATAATGAAAAAAAGTTTTTTTTTATAATATAAAATTGGGAAAAATTATTTAAAAAACAATATATTTATTTATTTATTGTTTAATTGTAGAATAAAATAAATTAAGTAAAATGATTATTTAAAAAATTAAAATGAATGATTTTTTTGTAACGGTAAATCTGTTTGTATAACGCGCGCTCCGTTCTTATTTATAAATTTAGTCGTTTTTCATTCGATTTCGTAGTTCGGTTCGACGAGACTCTATGAAACGTGACGAGTTAAAGTTGTCAAAATGGCGGATTCAAAAGATGATTTGCAAAGTGCAATTAATATTCTTTATATTTCTTTTATGAACTTAGTTACAAGCCCATTAAATTTAGGTTTAGTGGGAATAATTATTTTCTTAGTATATAAAATATATAAAAGTAGAAATCAGTCGATTGAACCACAACCCGAAGAAATAAAGCTTCCTAAATTAAAAAAAGACTTTACTGTTGAAGAATTAAGAAAATATGATGGAACTCAACCGGATGGAAGAATATTGGTTGCTGTTAATGGAAATGTATTTGATGTAACAAGAAAAGGAAAATGTTTTTACGGACCCGGTTTGTATAATTTTATTTTAATACATTTTTTTTTTTTTATAAAATCTTTTAAACTTTATTTTACCGTTTTATATTTATTTGTTTATTTTCATCTGTGTTAGTTTACTTTGAGGCGTCATCGATTTATTTTTATAATTTTTTTTTTTTTTAGTATTATTTAAAATTATTATTTTCATTTATATCTTTACAATGACATACATATGTTATTTTTAATTTTTTGAACTTTGTAGATATCAATAAAAAAAAGTTGGTTTACTGTCCATGGATTGAGTTTGCGTTTTGTTAAGATTTTGAATTTAACCTTATTTTAAAAATACTTTCTCCATTTCAACAAAAATTTCATATTTATTATCATTATTAAAATGATGATTTTTACCTTTAAATCTCCTTATCTTATTTCAGCCATTAATAAATTATTTTAATACTTTTGATTATCGATTTAAAAGTTGTGATGATAATTTTTTTTTTTTTTTCGAAAGCATTTACCATTTAATTTTCTATAAAAATTCAAATGACTAAGTAAAATCAAGTTTTTTATTTTTAAACTACAATAAATATGGAATTTATTAATTAGTTATGCATTGTAATCAAAATTAATAAGTTGTTTTTTTCCTCGTTTTGAAATTGAAAAAAAATTATGATTTGAAAAGTATTTATATTTTATTTCGTTTATCAAATATCGATTATGTGTGTGTGTAAAGAGGGGGAAAAAAAAATGTTTAGTTTTGAAAAAAAAAAATTTAACATAATTCAAAGTAGCAAAGTTTAAATAATTTTGTATTCAATTATGAATTTTTTTTCATTAGTAATTCTATTAGTTTAACTATTCATGAATAAAATTAATAAACTTGTTTTTAAAGCAATGCGTAGAATGTGTCGCTTTTAAATTATACATTTCAATAATTGATGAGTATGCAAATTAATTATTATATACTTTATGAAATAAAAAATTGTTTTTTTAACCACATTTGAAAATTATTTATTTATTGTTTTTCAGGTGGCCCTTATTCTGCTTTTGGAGGTAGAGATGCTTCTAGAGGATTAGCAAAATTTACAGTCGATATAACAGATAATGATTATGATGATTTGTCGGATCTCAATGCGATGGAGATGGAGTCTGTACGTGAATGGGAAATGCAGTTTAAAGGTTGATTTTTTACAATAATCATTAAATATTTTATTATTTAAGACTTTTTTTATTTATGTTTTTGTTTAATAATAAATTTTTATGAAATTAAAAAAAAAAAAAAAAAACTTTAGTCGTTTAATTATTATTATTTTTTGTTTTTAGAAAAATACGAATATGTCGGCAGACTCTTAAGGCCTGGTGAAGAACCTACAAATTATTCAGAAGAAGAAGAAGATGTTAATAATAGTGGTGAAAGTGAAAAAGAAAAAGAAAAAGAAAAACCCAAATTTGAATAAACATAGGGTAATTTTATTAATCGAGTAAACATTATTAAGGAAGTAAATACGAATTACAAAAAAAGGTGGGAGGGGAAGGATTTTAATTATTTTATTTATTCATTTTCAGAGAGCAAAAAAATGTGTCATCAAAATTTATTATATTGCATAAATTTTAAAATTAAAAAAGTTATAAATAAAAACAAAACACCTGCTTGATGAGAAAAGATAGAAAAATCAGGAAAAAGGAGAAAGCTACTTTAATTAGCATTGCAAGATATTTTAACAATTAAAAAATTTAAAGTATTTAATCTATATTAAATGGACCACATGCTTTTTTTTTTTTTTTTAAAAAAGATAATAATAATAATAATAATAATAAGAAATAAAAGGTAGAAAAAAAAAAAAAAAAATTTTAATATATAATTATATATATATTCTTGGAGACGTTTTGATGCTCGCGACTTAATAAATCAGTGCCCTGTTACTATATAGTCAAAAAAATGATGATGATGATGATGCTTAAAAAAGGAAAATTTATGCTTTAATATATATATTAATTAATTAATTAATTGCAGCGCGTTAATTTCTTAATAATTTCATTCTTTTTGTTTTGTTTTTTTGAATAAAAGACTGCTTTTATCTAACATATTGATAGGAATAATAATAATAATAATAAATGAATAATAATGATTTGTTTTTTTTTTTTTTTTTTTGATATCGAGAGAGAGATTTGTTATATTTTATGTTTTATCATACACATCTTTTTTTACCAAAGTGTCTAAATAATATTTATCAATTATATAAATGATTTGTATTATTATTATTATTATTATTATTATTATTAAAAAATTTTGATTAAAAAAATAAAAAATAAATAAATAAATATATTAAAAATTCAAAAAAAAATCAATCAATTAATTAATCTGAATTATTATTATTATTGTTATTATGGTCACTATTAAAAACGACAAGACGTTCTTATTTTTTGGGATTTTATTATTATTATTATTATTAAATGATTTTCTTAATTTAATAGATTAAATAATAATTTTTTTTGTTGCAACCATATTTATTTATTAATTAATTAATTTATTAAAGTCAATTTTTTTTGATTGTATTTATCAAAGGGTATCATATTCATCACCTTAAAAATTTTTTTTATTTAAATAATAAATAAGTACAAATAAATTTCCAGCAATGCAATATCAAAAATTTTATTTATAACACATACAAAATGTCAAAAAAATTTGTAATTTTTAATAATAATAATAATAATAATAGGGATCGAGGTTGGGAAAATTATTTAAATAAGTTTATGTATGTATATATATATATATCAATGATAAAAACAAATGGGGGAAAATTTATTTTTAAATGTATTTCCTTAATGAGGAATTATTAATAAAAAAAAATTATTTAAAAATTAATTATTTGTTATTTATTGATAATAATAATTATTATGTGTGACGGTTTTTTTTTTTTGTTGTTATTATTATTATGTACTTAATAAACTTATATGAAAAATTTCAATTATTATTGAAATTATTCCATCATTATGTAATAATAATAATAAATTTTTTATTTATAAAATAATATTATTTACATAGAAATACTGAAAATATTAATAATAATAATAATAATTAAAAGAATTTAAGGGATGATTTAAAGGGGGAAAAAAAATTCAAAAGATTAGATATTTTATTATTGTAATTTAATTATATTTTTTTTTTCATGGAAATATTATTTTATGAATGAATGAATGAATGAATGAATGAATAAATGAATTCATTCATTTATACTTTCAATTGAGAAGTTTTAGAATTATTATTATTATTAGAAAAAATTAATTTTTTATCTTCGTTTGAATAACTTTGATGAAGTTTAGTTGAACTTAATGATTCCATACTCTTTTTAAAATTTTCGACTAATTTTTTTTTTCTATTATTATTATTATTATTTGATTTTCTTTCATTGATTATGTTGTTCGGATTAGAATGATTGAAAAAATTTTTACCATCTTCATAATTTTTTTCTTTAACATAAGGATCATCATCGGTTAATGTACTCTTAGAAGTTTCTTTTTTCATCATGCTAAAACCTAACAAAACATTCCTGAGGGATCTTGCGCTATCATACATTATGTTATATCCCTGATTGATATGTTGTACTAAATTTTGTGCGTTTAATAACGAATAACGAATATTTTCTGTCAACGTTTTTATTTCTCGGCAATTGACAGTAAATGTTTGAATCAATGTTTTTATTAATAACAATAAAATAATTATTTTTATCGTCAACACTAACACATGATAAGACAAATACATTATTGAAATTATTATTTATTTTTATTCGAACATGATTTAAAAATTTTATATTGGAGTTTTTTTTAATAAATATATATATATATGTACAAAAATTTTATTATGTAATTTAAAAACAAAATCAAAAAATGATAAAGCAGACAAAAATTATTACACTTATAGTTTTTTTTTTATAAGTTGCCTAGCAGTAAAAAGTTTTTTATTAAATTTTTTTTTGTTGTCGTTAAACAAATAAAACAAAAAAAAAAAAGGATGATTCGAAGTTTAAAAAAAAATTATATAATAAAATAAAAGTTATGGGGACAAAAAATTGTTAATAATAATTGATTAATAAAGTTTACTGCTGTAAAAAAAATTGTTGTCATAAAAATATTAATAAAACAATCATTTCATGGTACTTTAAATAAAGGTTAATTAAAACTTGTAAAAAAGATGGTAATGTTTTTCGAATATGAAAATTGTGATGATTGTGATGTTTGATGTGAAATAATTATTTTAAAATCAACAACAATTAAATACTGGATATGTGTAATAAAACAAGACTTGATAATGTTTCAAAAAATTACCAATCATTTAAAAATTGGGTAGTTGTGTGGTAATTTGTTAAAAAAAAGGATGTAAAATGAAATTATTTGACATTTATTTACAGCCTGACAGTTTCATTATAATCTACAGTGAATATTACTATATCTAAACTAATGTATAATAATTTCATCATTGAAATTAATAAAAGTAATAAATGTCAGCTAATGGTATTTAATTAGTTATAACTACATTATATATTTAATAATTAAAAACCAAAAAAAAAAAAAAAAGTTTAATTAAAATTCTATTTTAAAAGATTAAGACTATGTTAGATTTTAAAATTTTTATCAAAGAAAAATTAATAACACTCTATTTATTAAAATAAAAATGGTAATTACTTTGTGGATGATAAATTTTAAAAATATTTTAAATATTTTAAAATTACTTAAATTTTAATTCGATATTATTATTAATTTCAATCGAAATATATTCCTTTGTCTATTAAAAAAAAAAAAAAATTAACAATTTCCCCTGCTCTTGACAATAATTAATAATCGTATAAAGTCGGTTAAATTCGAATAAAATCGTTTTTTCCTGACGTCATATTTACTCTATGATCCAATCGTAATAGTTATTAAAGTCACGTGAACAATTCCGACCAATAAGAAAATACATTCTAAATTTTTCACTGACAAGCGTAGAAAAAGTGTTCATCAACAGACGCCATCTTGTCAGAGATTGACCGTATTAATTTTCCGTCAAAATCGTGAACAAAATGCTGTATACATGCATTAGGTATATTTTAATGTTTTATTAAATAGTGCTGAAATACATATTAAATGAGTATTTAGTGTTTTAATCAGTTTTTGGTGACAGTGAAAGTGAAAATCTTCTTTGTTTGAAATCGCTTCTACTTGCATTTCTTTCAAAGATGGCGAAACGAAGCTCGATGGAATAGGCCCACTTCCAGGCTTGGGTCTTGATGTCTGTTTTTAAAATTTTGCATTTGATTGTGTTGAAATGTGCCTTGAAGGATGTAAAAAATCATCAACGATTGGGCCAAAATCAGCGTGGAGTTTAATTATTTGGAATATTTTTTGAATAAAAATATGTGCATTAATGTAATAATTTGGTGAAGTAACTTCGTTTTGCTCATATCGAACATGGCGGATCATCTTGTAGACGGTCCGCCAAATAAAAGACAGAAATTAAATGATCCATTGCAAGGACCATCGGACAATTCTTGTAAGTAACACAGTAGTTAAAAATATAAAGTGTTTCAGTTAAAGTGTTTTTAACTTAATATTTTATTTAAAAGGCATAGAACAAACGAATGATTACTAGGAAAATAGGCGTATCGTTTCGTACCGTAGTTGTTTGGCATTGAAAAATTTACAACCTTGGTTCTTTTTAAAAAATTTTTTAAGATATAGTAAAATCATTAATTAAAAATTAAAAATAAAAAATGCATAATTTTTTAAATTAAATAATAATAAAATTCTCTTATATATTTTTATTTTGAAAGAATACATGTGAAAACAGCATGGCCAATGTTATTGTTTTCGTGTCTGCGATTGACACTTATTTGCCCCACTTTAATAACAATATTCTTTATTCTTTGATTTTTATCTATTTATTCATTTTATTTTTTTAATTGTAAATATTTTTAAATTAGTTACGTTAAATTGTAGTTTTCACAATGATACTTGTTGCATCTTTCATCTTTATAAAAAATAAATATTTGATACTTTGGCTAAATTAACTTTGTAAGTTTTCTTTAAATACTTGTTAAAAATACTAATGTTAATAAAAAAACATTGCATTTTATGTAAAAATTTAAAATCAGTTAATTTTAGCTATATTATTGCACAATAAAATACAAAATATTGAGATATTTGTTAGTAAGGAAAAATTTTATGTTTGCTTTTTTTTTTTTTAATGCTTAATAAAAAATTAATGTGCTTTTTACTAGACATAGTTACATACATAAATATATGTATAAATGCATACATGCATGTGTATGTGTCTGTGTAAACATAATAATATTATATATGTATAAAAAAAATTTGTCAATAATTTATTCAAATTTTTATAGTTTTTTTTTTTTTTTTATTATTAATATTAGAAAATTTTATTTATCATTACATCATTTTATTAATGCCATATACCAAAAAAATTTTTTTATTTCTTTTTAATAGAATATTTTTATGAAAATTTAAAATAAATTTTTTTTTTTTTTTTTTTTTTTTTTTTTTTTTTATCTCTTTCCCAATAATGTTATGTTTGATTTGGAAAATGAACTTCCTGAAAAACTTATGTCTACAGGAGGTTCATGGGGTGCAATTGAAAGCAGCAAGCCTTCTAATGCTGGTCCAGGACCAGGTGCGGGTCCTGCATCAAGCATGGGTCCTCCAATGCAAAATGGAGCATTAGATATGCCTCATCACCTAATGTCACAAGGAACAAAAGGAATTGTAAATCATTTACAAAATCCTGTTTTAAACACTCCAAGCAGTCAGGGATTGATGAATAGTCAAGGTAGTTGTAAATTTATTAATTTAAAAAATCATATTTTTCAAATTTTTGGTGTTTCGATCAATATTGTTTATGAATTTTACAAGATTTAAAATCATTTAACAATCGTTTATAAAAAATTTACCTAACAAAACATTTAAAAAAAAAAAAAAAAAAAACTTAAATTTACAAATGCACATTACAGGAATGGTGGGCACAATGATTATGACCAGTAGCCCTCTTAACACCATGGGCGGTGGACATGTTGTAACAAACTCATTAAATAAACAGCCACTGCCTGGTAACTTAATGCCTCAGCAGGGTAAGATATATTTGAAGTTCGAAGGGAAAAAAATGATAAATTTAAAAAAAAAAAAAAAAAAGAGTTTTTAATAAATATATATTTGAAAATTTTTTAAGGTCTTCATCCCAATGTAAGTCAACATCAGCTTCAGAATGGTCCTATTCTTTCAGCAAGGGCAGCAGCAATGCAGGGGCATTTAGTTAGAGGACCTGGACCTGGTCAAGGTGCATCAGGTCATCATATAGGCATAGGGGGGCCACGGCTGCAGGGGCCTGGGCCGGGACCAGGTCCGGGGCAAGGAATGGGGCCAATGGGGGTTACTTCTTACACATTCAATTCTCAAGGAGTTTTGACTCCTCAACAAAGAGGAGTTCCTGGTAACGTTGTTCAAATACAGCCTCAGAGGTTTAGTGTTCAGGGTACAATTGGTTAGTAAAAATTTCTTAAACTTAACATTTTTATTAAATTTATGAATTTTTTATTGTTTATATACGAATAGACCATTTAATTTCTCTAAAAATTTATTTAAAATTATGTAAGTTTTAAAAATAAATGATTTTAATTTTCTTAGGTGGCCCTTCAGTTGTAAACAAGGAAGGTGGAGCTGTTTCTGCTCAACCTCCAGCTTCAAGTCCGGCTCAGCCTCAATCTGGAGCTCCTACCGGAACACAACCTGGTCCTCAGCAAGCCACTCAAGGCGGCCCAGGTTTGCAGCAACAACCAACGCAACCAACATCTAATGCTGACCCAGAAAAACGAAAATTAATTCAACAGCAACTGGTATTGCTTTTGCATGCTCATAAATGTCAAAGAAGGGAAAGCCAAGCAAATGGAGAGCAGTGGCAGGTTAGAAATTAAATAAAATTCTTATATTTTAGCAAAAATAATTATTGTTTCATGTAAGTTTCATTTGTTATTAAACATGTTGGTTCTTTTTCAGTGCATATTGCCTCATTGCAAGACCATGAAAAACGTTCTAAACCACATGACAACATGTCAGGCAGGAAAATCCTGTACCGTCCCTCATTGTTCTTCTTCTAGGCAAATAATTTCACACTGGAAGCATTGCACTCGTTCTGACTGTCCCGTTTGTTTGCCTCTAAAGCAAGCCGATAAGAATAGAAATAATGCAAATGGTAATTAACAGTAATAAAATGATTTAACGACTCGATCAAGATGTATACAAATAAAAAATTTTATGAATAATTATACTTTTTCTCAGTGATCTCAAATCAAGCTGTTGGAAGTCAACAAAATCCATCACCATCGGATATGAGAAGAGCTTATGACGCCTTAGGTATGCAATGTCCTATTACTGGTGGACAGCCAGGACCCCCTGGTGGCTTACTTACTCGCCCTGCTACGCGAATGGTTTCTACCGAAATGAATCAAGCTCCAATGTCAGGCAGCGTGCGACTTATGGCACCACAAGGTGAGTAACCTTAAAGACTTTAATATTTGTTAAAAATGATTCTTTAAAAGTCGTAAATAAGTCTTACGTGGTTTATTCGCTTGTATCTCCAATAGGTCCCCAAAGTGCATCTGTTCCTGGAACTGGGAATCAAGTGGTTGCTCCTAATGTCAGCCTTCCGCTTAGTAGTGATCCAACGACTAGTGCAATGCCAGCCACAACTGCTAGCACTGTAGTTAGTGCTACGCAGCAGGCACAAGCCATACAACAGACTGTTCAAAACATTTTCACACTCAACGATTCTCAAGGGGTTAGTAATTTTTTTTAAAATTCTACCAAATTTAGATTTTGGTTAAAAAATAACTTCTGGGCTTTAATTTAAATTGTTTTATCTTCTATTAAAGGTTGGATGTGATAATAGGCTAAGTAATGTTCCGCTTCCTGGGGGGTTAACTACTAGCCAGGTTCAAGCAACTCCTGTTCAGGGAACCAAGGAATGGCACATGTCGGTCACTCCAGATCTTCGTAATCATTTAGTTCATAAATTGTATGATTTTTTTCAAGTACTTTTTTTTTTTTTTTTTTTTTTTAATAATTTAAAAATTTTATAAACGTATAAATTTCATTTTTCAGAGTGCAAGCAATTTTCCCCACCCCTGATCCTAATGCAATGCTCGATAAAAGAATGCATAATCTTGTAGCTTACGCTAGGAAAGTTGAAGGTGATATGTACGAAATGGCTAATTCACGGGTAATTATTTAATTTAATTAAAAAATTGATTTTTCTAAACGTTTTTTTTTTCTCCACAATCATTATTAAATTTAAATTTAATTTTATTACAGTCTGAATACTACCATTTACTAGCCGAAAAAATTTATAAAATTCAAAAAGAACTAGAAGAAAAAAGACAGAAAAGAAAAGAGCAGCAAATGCAGGCGCAAAATCCTGCTCCCTTAAACGTTCAGCAAAATACCATTAGGCCAGGTTTAGTAGGACCAAGGGCTCAGGGCCCTATTCAAAATACCGTTAATCAAACAATTCGATCTCAAAGTCCCGGAATGAATGTTCAAATAAGGTATGATTTTCTAATATTTTTTTTTTTTTTTTTTTTTTTTTTTTTTTTTAAATGACTGGAGAATCGTTTTTAATCGAATTTTTTTTTTTTTTTTCTACAGTCGAGTACCATTTCAACGTATGGTCGCACCAGGACCATTTAGTTCTCCTTCTAGTCAGTTCAATGGACAGCCTAATAGCCAATTTGATATGATGAATACAAGGTAAGTATTTCTCAATCATGACGGGACTTGCTTAAAAAAAAAAAAAAAAAAAATGTTTTACTTAAAATTAATTTTTTCTTTTAAAGGCTGCAAGGACCAGCAACATCTCAGTCCCAAGTTAATCTCGCTACCAATTCTTCTTTCAATCAACAAACATCTCAGTTTCAATCTTCAAATATTAACAATCCTGCTAGAGTTCCGCCAATACCCAGTGAAAGTCCTGGTGCTGTCATTCCTGGTAAGATGATAATTTATTATTATTATTATTATTATTATTACAGTTTATAAAAATGTTTCAAGTATACACTTATCCTTGAAATACTTTTGTTATTAATCCCTACTTGGAATAATTAATTAAATTAAATTTTTTTAAGGTGGAGGAGGTGCGTCCCAAAAAGTTATAGGAGGTGCTGCTAGTGGAACTTCTTCGACGGTTGTATCTAGTAACGGCTCTGTCACTATTCAAGTTCCTTCTAATTTACTGCAACACCAACCTAATAGTGTTCCAGTTTCTACACCTCCATCCAGCGTTCCACCTCCAGCCACTCCTCCTGGGAATACTACGCCTTCCAATAGGTATTTTTCTTTTGATAATGAAAAATTATCAATTTTCTTTTGCAAAATATTTAAAATAATATTTTTTTTTTTTTTTTTTTTTTTTTATTTGCAGTAATATTTTAGCAAGTTTAGGTAAAGGTGGAGGCCAAAGTGAACGTGATAGAGCAGCTAGAAATGCAGTAAACTCAATGTCTTCTCAGATGGCCGCCATAACTGCAGCTCTTCATCAGGTATATTTCTTTTCCAAAAAAAAATTTTTCATTTCTCTCTTAATTTATAATTTTTTATTGGAATAATATGTATGGGTTAAAGGGATTGGGTACTTTCTTAAAAATTTAATTTTTTACTCGAAGAGTTACAATAATAATAATAATAATAATGATATTAATATTAATTTTATTTATTTAAAAATTAATTTATCAGGATGAAGATTCTTCGCCAAGTGAAACCAAAGACAAACTTGATGCTCTTAAAGAGCGTGAACTTAAAAGAGAACAGGAAGAACAATCGGGAGGTGATATGAGTTGCAGCCGGGATAGTTCTGGTAAATGCGGAAGCGTATCGGATATAAAAACTGAAATTAAATCGGAAACGATGGATGTTGGAAGAGAAGAGTCGACTACCATTAAAGAAGAACCAATGACTCCTTCTACTCAAATGGGAGAAGATACTAAGCCGAGTTTTAAAATCGAACCCATAGCACCTAGTAGTACGGATAAAAAACCCAAATGTCCGTGTCCTTGTCGTAAGTTTTCATTTTTTTTTCTTATTTTCACCTTTGGGAAATTTTTATTTTAGGAGTGATTTTTTTTTTTTTTTGTTTTAAAAAGATTAATTTTTATTTTTTTTTTCCGTTTTTTCAGTTTTTAAACCTGATGAACTTAGACAAGCTTTAATGCCCACGTTAGAAAAATTGTACCGACAAGATCCAGAGTCTGTACCATTCCGGACTAAAGTTGATCCAGAACTTTTAGGAATTCCAGACTATTTTGATATAATTAAAAATCCAATGGATCTATCAAAAATTAAAGAAAAATTAGATAGAGGAGAATATTCG